CTCTGCCCCCCTTTCCTGTCTGTCTCCAGCTGTCCTATCAAATAAAGGCATAAAAAGCCCCAAAAAAAAGATATTCTTTTAACTAAAAATGTTGCAGTTTGCAAAAGTTATATTACTCTGTCTGTGGTTTTAATGCTGCCCTCTTGGCCAGGTCTCTCTTGAAAGAAATGCTCTCAAAGAGATTTTTACCTGGATAAATGATAGGAGACTGAAACTGAGCAAGATGTCACTTGCCCAATGATTCATAGTGTTAATGATGTGAGGAGGAGAGATTGTTTTTTCTCAGGTTGTCAGAAAATGGCAGCTATCAGAAATGATTCTTTGAGAGGTAAAGTTTAGCCGACTGCTATATACAGTATTTATCACCCAACTCTGCTTTTAAGTCAAAAATGCTTTGCCTTGCATGCCAGCACACAGTATTGTTTTTGTTTTCATTATATTTTAGGCTAGATATTATAGCAAAAATATATATCCTGGAAACATTAGATGCTTCTCTTGTAACTTTGCTCCATGTCTTTTCCTTTTAGCACTCATTAGAAAAATAACATTTTAACCATTCAGTTAAATATTTGAATTCTTCAAATTCTTTACAGATTTACTGTATATCCTAACTTTATCCAACAGGACATGTCTTTACTGGAGAAGCCTCTATTTGATAGTTAGCTGTGGGGCTTAAAGTATTTCATCATATAAACATCTCTGTCTTACTGTTTCCTGTGCTTATGAAGACATACAGCAGAGAACTCTGCAAAGAGTAGGCTCAAGATTACAGCCCTGCAGCTCCCTGGCCACATGGAAACCATGATTGTAGACCTGAAGAGTATATATAGCACCGGTCCACTCCTTAATGTTGTGTATTGTGGATGGATGTACGCCCTGGCTCTGAAGCCTGCACCACTGAATAAGGAGAATCACAGCCAAATAATACACTGCACACTTGACATTTGGCGCTGATGTTGTCTTGTGTCTGTCCTACTCGTCCACAGCAAGAAAAAAAGACTGAGAATGGGTTGGCACCACTACACATTAAACACTTCCATATGATTTTTGTTTTTGTTAATTTGTCATCAGCCATGTATGCAAGTTGCCCATGGGTATAACGTGTCATTAAACTCCCATTATGAGTTTAGATATAAACTACACCATATGGACAAACTGCTGTTAAAATTAATTGATAGAATTATACAAAAGCATGAAGAAACAGAACTTAAAGTAAATTCAAAAGAGAGAAAATAGATTCTTACCTCATGACATGCTAATGTGAAATTAACTTTAAACATGCTCAAGATCTTAATCAAGCTTTATCAGTGTGGATGGGCAGGAGTCTCTAAGAAAATAGAAAAAGTAATAATTCTTTCTCTCTCTCTCTGCCTTTGCAGCAGCTCTTGAGGCTTTGTGCTGCAGTGATTATTGCTTCTACTAACTCTAAACTGTAAACTGAAACAAATTAAATTCCAACGGGGTCACAACTGCCAAAACACAGCCCAAACAAATGTACCACATCCTCTGTGTCAATACCCGGTCTCGGGAGAGAAAACAGGATAGAAAGCCCTCCAGCACATTTCTAAAGAAAATGTGTATAAGGTGAACGGTGTGCAGTATGTGTATAACTGGCAAGATACAGCATATTTAATGCCACATGGAAAATGGAGACAAAACCGGAGGACAATACTGTGGTGTTCCTGTACCTCTGAGTTGAAGCGGATCTGGCAGACGTTACAGGAGATGATTGGCCTCTTGGTCTTGATCAGTGGGACGCCAAAGGTGTGGTTGATCACGGCCTTCTGCACCGGGTCCATCTGATAGAGAAAATGACAGGGGAAGAGACGGACAGACAGAGAGAGAGGGGGAGAGAAAGAGAAATCTGTGAGCTATAATTCATACTTAGTTACTACTACTACTACAGTTCTGTGCTCCAGATGTCCCGATGATACAAGTCGACAGGCCAGTCCATCCTTATGATGTAAGGGGTGAATTTTCTATGCCCTCTACCTCGGATGATAGAGGCCACTATGGAATAGAGAGGCCCACAGTTTTTATGCCCAAGAAACTAAACCTAAAACTCTAGATGACCACATGAAGTGATGAATAAAGAACACAGAAAAGGGCTTTTACACTCTCTAGGGTGTTTATGTTCAGCACACAGTGGTCAATAGTGTTGACAGCGTGTTGCTACAACTGAAACACCTGTTGCATCCTACACAAGCTCAGGCTTCTGATCATGACCAGGTTGTAGCTTCATGCTGCCCCTGTGCTAATTGTTTCAGCTGGGACGTCCATCATCTATCTGGTGTTAAGCAACTCGTATAAATTTAACTGACTCGCTTTAGCAGCTCTCCAACGTGTCGGTGGTTAAGCCACCCACTTAAACTCTGTCCTAGACACAAAAGACCCTGCCTGTACTGATCTAAAAGGGCTCCATTGCAATTATTTATCTATGTTTGAAGCTGAATTTATCTAGCGATCATTGTTAATTGACCTTAGCATTAGTCTGGAGTCAATGGCTGATGTGGATTTCCACCACAGACAATTGTCTGGCACAATGTCCACAGCTAAAGCAGGCAATATTTATAAGATGATGTGGCACTGTATGGGTGCACAAATGGAATGAAGAGAAACAAAAATCCTGGCCTGAAGAATAAAATGGATATGATGCTGTGTGCTTTGTGAGGGAATGTTCCAGAGAGTCCTCCAAGTCTGATGCAAGCCTGTTAGTTTGGAGAGCCCGACAGACTCTAAATTACTCAATTTGGCTCATCACTACGTTTAATTTGGCTAATCACCAAGCTTCCCCTTAAGCTATCTTGCACCCAGAGCCACAGTCTAATCTGATACACTAATGGCTCAGGGCTCAAGACTGAGGAGTGACAGAGAGAGAAAAGAGCGGTAAAATGAATATTCTCATAACTCAAGCACAGACAATTTGAATTTCTGCATTGTACTTGTTACTTGGCAACTCCAAAGAAACAGGGTAAACAGAGAAAGAAAGAAATGGGGAGGAGGCCCAAGACACTTAGCTGGGTGACAGGACAGTGCAGAAACACACCATCTGGAGGAGCGAATGAGTGAGAAAGCGGGAGAGGAAGATGAATTGGGACAGATAGAAAAGAGAAGGGGGTGATGGGAAAAAACCCCGAAAGAGAGAGAGAGAAAGAGGCCCAGGCCGGACATCCTCACATTGCACATTCTTATCTCATTTGGCTCTCTTTCCCATACTCCACGTTCCATGATTCCCTTCCCTCTATTTCTCTCCCCAGAAACAGCAGTACACTGCTGTTGCTATGAATTCAGATAGATAGGGGGGGGGGACTAATAACTGATAACTGCAGTGACTATGCATTAAAAACAACAACACAATCAACTCAGTTCTCAGTCATCTCTCAAAATCCTGCCCAATGTTACCTGCTCAACTTCCCCATCACAAGCAAATATAACAGAAGAGATGCGTGTTAAATACTATATGTGGGTGTCAATGCCGTGACCCATCATCATCATTCTGATGAGAGTTTAACAAGAGCCGAACAGGCTTGGTGTAGTAACTGTACAATGAATCACGAGCTTCTCCCCAGCCAGTCAGTTCACTACACTGGGTGTGGGTCAGCTATGATCCATCCAGTTGATTCAGCTGTTAAAAACACCGTCCAGCTGCCAACAAGCCTTTTTGGACAGCAGCTCACATGGCCTCTTACCCAAATGCTCTCCAAAACATGTCCTCATGAAATGGGAGTAGAGCACTGTGATGTAACTGAAAAGGGATTTTCCAAAACTCACTTGATCGTTTTGACCAGTTTTTCTGGAAAATAAACAATTGAATGTCAAACTGGCTGTGTTTCCTGCATTAGTATTTTATAATTAAATCGATTTAATCTCTAAAATCTAATTAGTAAATAGTAAGTATGAGTATGGGGCTGTTTGAATGTGGTGACAGCTCTGGCAGATGTAAGTAAACCACAGAGACCACTGACTCTAGGATCACTCAGCGGTCATGTCAACAGCTCCACTGGGCTTTCAGACCAACTCATCCTAATGCCTTTTGTTAACACAAAACTTCTTCTATGGAGAAACAAGAGAGCAAAGAGCAACCAAGCATCTCCCTGGCACTGCACAGTGGCATACACCTCAACCCACCAACATCCTCTTCTGTGGTCTTTATTTTTATTTCTATTTCTCTCACTCTCCCTCTTCCTGACTCAGGTTTTTCATTCTTTCATCCATTTCTTTTTTCTTCTTCTAGTGTGTTTGATCAGTTCCCTGCGACAAAATGTTTGGAAGGGTTGAATTCCAGCAATGAGGAATGCACTGCTCTGTGACTCTCGGTGGGACCACTCTGGCAGTCACAGTAAAGTCTGCACTGTGCCAGATAAAAAAAAACAGCTTTTGAAGCTCTGTGTTCTACAGTACTTTTGAGTTGTGCCCAGATTAAGTCACGGCTGGGTGAAAAACAAAAACAAGGCAAGATGCTCCAAGCATTTAGGTACTCACCTTCTTCTCATCTGTGTCTGTAGAAGCTTGGAGCAGCATTGGTCCTCCTGTGTGTGTGCTGCTGGCCGCAGTGTTTGTTTGAGTCTCAGCATGTGCGAGACTGAGAGTGTGTAGTGCACCTTCCTCACTCATTCAGCCTCCTAGTTTGTTGTCAATGCTGAATACAAACTAACTCACATAAAAATAGGACTTATGCCTAGTGATGCATTGGCAGCAAAGATTTTTGTTTTTCCTCTTTTGGCACACTCAGCTTCTCTTAGAAATGCTGTAAGAGAAGAAAGTAACTGTATGCTGTAAGGATTTTCTCAAATCTTTGACTTACTGTCTCTTTTTTTTCACTGACACATCACCTTACAAGTGCCTGTCCCTTTTGTTTAGCCTCCCTCTCCTCTCTTCTCAGTTGCTTTCTCTCTCTGCCTCACACTTCCCTGTAGTGCGTTTCCCTCACTCTGCTTTACAGTTTTCTCCTCCCCTTCTTGCTCTCTCTCTCTCTCTCTCTCTCTCTCTTCCGTCTTCATGCATACTCGATCTGTCCAGACTCAGGCAGGATTGTGTGTCCCACTCTCCTCCTGCTCAAACCCCCTCCCTCTTCCCCCCAAGTTCACACCATCTATCAAATGTTATCAGCCACTGGAGCTTTTGCCAGACCCACCAATCCCCCGACCAAACCACACATGAATACACACAGAGACACAATACTCTTCCCCTCTAGACATATGTGATGCCTTTCAGCAAGACATCAATGCTCACAAGATCTGATAAAGCCTCTCGAGTAACTGGACAAAACCTACTCTAAATGAAAAACATCAGTCAATTAATCTGTTGCTGGAAGTGTTGTGAAGGAGGACCCGGGCTTTTTTAAAGTGAGTTGTTTAGGAAGGGAGTGAAAAAGAGATGAAAGGAAGGCAGACAGTAGATGAGATTCAACAAGTCTGCATGCGACTTTGCATGATTTGACACCTTCATCCAAAATTCCTGACTTTGCAGCCCGAGGAAGTCCATATCAGGGCAAGCAGCTCAGCTCAGAGGTGTGTGAGCATGCGTCTATATCAGGACCAGCTGCTGCAGATAAATAATTCAGCCTCGTCACTGTCTAGAGGCACATTGGGCGAGACAGGCAGGTAGAGGACAAATCACATTAAAGAACCATTAAAACTGTATATGGCTTTAGGAGAGGCCATTCCTCTACTATGGGGCTAATAACCCTCAATGTGAATCTCATTAAGACTGTACAAACTCAGTACAGATCACATATTAAGAGAGAACGATAGAATAACTAGCTGACAGCTTAGTGCAGGGACATTTTTCAGTGTTATTGCTGCTATAATGCTGTGTCTTCATTTAAATATTGTGCATATCTATATTTATCACAGTGTGTTGGTGTAGACAGACACCAGCAGGCATCTAAAACACTGGGAACTGTACTTTTAATGTGAAATAATCCTAGTTCACGCTCCAATTCATACAGTTTTATGAAAGAGACGAGACCCAAGCAGAGTCGTTCTCTGATTGTTTCAACATCCGTCTCCCTAAAAGCCCAACCAGCCATAAAACATATTCCATGATGTAAACAGAGCTGCAAACACTATTACTGTAGGTCTTCCTGTATAAATTGACTCAACTGCACAACACTAAATTAAACATTAAAACATCTCTAGGAAAGCTGAAGGCCTTGACTTCCTCCGTAGGAAAACATCAAGACTGAGCCTTCATAAGCAGCAAGTTCTATCTTCTTTTTGTATTTTTGCATTTTTATGGCTTGAAAATACATCCTTCAGGCATTTCCCCTAGATATATCAGTTACATAGCAACTGTACTATCTGGGTTAATGTGTCAGTCATTCTCCATTTCATGCAATGCAGTAAAAGCATGTAAGTACTGTCCATTTGTATGTGCCAGTATGCAGTGGATGTGTAAGGTCAGAATGTCCTCCAAGCCTCTCCTATGGCCCCATCTCCTGGCCACAGGGCTGTAAAACACCACTCAGCACTGGCTGGCAGTCATCAGCAGCATCAGCTATTAACATTCACAGCATCCCTCTGGACCTTCAGACATAGTTAACGTTCTGAGGAGGAGGATGGGGAGCAGAGGGATGTTACAGAATGAGGGAGAGAGAGAGAGATTCGGAGGGAGTGTTCAAGAGGCAGTGAGACAGAATGAAGAAAGAGCAAGCGAGAAGGATTTCAGGGCTGTGCCGGCAGACGCAAGAGTGGAAACTGAGTGCCTGCATCATTTCAGTATCTCTATTAATCCATATCTGCTGGGTGCACTACAGTTTTAACATCAGTGAGAATGCTTCCACTTATGTCATAGCCCATGGAGAGCTATTAAAATGACTGCGTATCGTTAAAATGTGTTTAACAGTGTCTGGACTCATGTTACAATCCCTGTAGTACCATACGTGGCTGAAGCACACGCCAGATATTTCCAATTACTGACAGGAGATCGCTGTGTCCCTTTGCAAACTGTAGTCAAATATACCAGGCTGACACATGCAAAGGATGTTGCAGACATGCTCTAAGAATAGCATTGTCCTACATACAGTACACACAAAGTTCACAGATTTTACATATTGCTGATGAGAATTGTGTTGACATTCCCAAGCGGAGTCTGGAGGAGCAGGCGGTACATTATGCTGAGCTGGTGAAATGCTAAATGTCTCTACGGTCTAATCTAAATGATAAGATGTTAGTCTGGGCCTAGGGAAACAGGAAGATCCCTCTCAGTTAAAATAAATACTACATCAAACAAACTGTGGTGTTTGAAGTGCACAGCTATAAAGATGGCCTTAGAACTGCTCTTTAATACCGTGCTTTGAATTAATGAATAGGACAGTGTGTGCACATAAAATATAGTTTTAAGAATAACCTGCTGCCCTTACAGTAAGGCATGTCTAACACAACATGCATTCTTTATGTGGGAATAGCAGCGCCTTAAAGGCACACTTAAATGCTAGCAAGCTTGCCATTGCTTGTGAATGCATTATGAAGTTAAATACACAGACATATCAAGTCTACCACATTTTAAGGAGAAACATTGTGTGTTTCCAAATTGCACTGGGTGAGTGAAAAGACTGCAGTATGTCTGTGTTTGTGTCTGCATCAACTCTCACCGTGTTGAAGTTGTGGAAGAGACTCATGCTGTGCGGAGGAGGGGCGGTCTCCATGGGGTAATGCAGGAAGGGCTTCATGTCCAGGTGGGGCTGGATCATAGTGGGGGTCCGCAAGAATGTCGGCACCGCCGCCCCAGCCCGGTTTATGCCTCCTGCACAGAGAAAGAGAGAGAAAAAGACAGAGATACATAAACATACAAGCCATATTCTCATATTTATAAGAATTAAAACCATTTCCATGTTTGTTTTGACAATTGTGACAATTAATAGCAAAAAATGGTTTGATAATTAACTTAAATAAGATATAAAATAAAAATAGAGAGACTGGAAGAAAAAAAAGAGAATTGCATAGCTTATTACAGATTGCAGGCCTGTTTTCTGGAATGTGCCACTGAATTCCAAAAAGCACAATGAGCCATAATTGCACTGCAAAGCAATTATTTCTCTGCAGACAGAGCACATAACTGAGAGAAAACCCTGAGAAAAAGCAGCATTCAGGCCTTTAAGGACACTCAAATTATTGCTTTGGACAGACGTTCTGGTTTTCCTGACAACTTGACAAGGCTGAAGCACCAAAGTGCAGCGGCACTGCTGTGAACAAATGCTGTGATGCTGAGGGTTTTGTGGGCTTTGTAGAATTCACATCACCGAAGCATTTCATTATACCAAAAACATTCACATCAAATGAAGCAGGAATGCCATGGAGAAGAAAAGAATGCCACAGAGGCAGTGGGGATTCCTCTTATCCACCTGCCTGCCAGTCTCCTCTCTTCTCCTCCTCTCTCCTCTCCTGGGAGATATCTGCAGCTTGATGATAATGAGTTTCATCTCAGCGTGTGTTGCTTTATGTCATCCTGACTCGTGTACTAGAGTTGGATCACTTGGTTGTGTCTAATTATGGACTGACTGAATCAGAGACTCTGATGCCTCTACTCTCGTCTGACACATGCTCCCTGGCTTTGACTTTATCCAACATGCTGTTTGAGTAGATTTTCACAGGAGTTGAAAAACATTTCATGGCGTCATTTATGAACGCCACTGTAAGGGTTCTCTACACACACACACACACACACACACACACACACACACACACACCTGTGCACTATGTCAATGTTTAATTCTCCTATAAAAGCACGTAAGGCTGTCATAATGATACACGGCTCCCTATTCTCGTCATTGCTCCCATCTGCCTTCTCTTCTTCTCCTCCTTATCCCCCCTTGTCTCCTCTTTAACCTCTGTCAAGGATGATAGTGATGGGGCCCACACAGCAAAACTCAGCTTCAGCAAGCTCTTAGATTAAGCCTCTTAATATCCGCAACTGGATTTCTGTGGCTTTTAAATTCCCCTGAGACTTAAAGCTTTGCTGCTCTCCTTTTTGGGATTTCTCTAAGCTACTCTCTCGCTCCGTTACTTGCTGTCCCTCGCTCTGCTTCCTACTGCTATTCGTTTCTACCTGCCTCCACGCTTTCACATGGTAATTTGTGCATTATTTGACACCTCTGCGTTTTCATCAAGCTTTATGTCAACTAAATGTGATCAGAGGAAATAATATAGCTGCTGCATTGGAGGAATATGGTGTTAGCATATGCAGTCTCCAAAGTTTGGATTAGAGAGAGTGGGAGAGAAAGAGATAGAGGGAGAGAGATTGACTTTGTCAGACTGAGTAAAAGTGCTGTCTCAGCTGTAGCCCAGCTGCCTTCTGCTGTGCATCTGTGGGCCTCGAGGTGAAGACGACTGCATCATTACATCTAGTTGGGCATGTAAGTTTCTTCCACTGAACAAACCACAAATATACACATGCACACACGTATGAATGCACAAACCTATGCTTGCACACACAACTATTCTTACACAACAAGTTTGTGGCCTATGTTGCTTGTTTTCCAGCTGGTGGATTGTCTCATCATCTCATGCTGACTCAGCACTGTTTATAGAAAAACACTGTTGTTATGTTTCAGTATAAATACTGGGAAGTAATGTGTATTGTTCCAAATTAGAAAGTGTCACACATTCTTTTTAAGTATGCACAGTCACAAATTTCTAAGAAGTACAAACATCCAGTTTCTTCAGCCAGTCTGTTAAGCTCAGCTCCTCCTAGATGCTGTTTGTTGTGATGAGAGAGGATGGGAGGTCCTGTAGCTGCATTCTCTTCCACCTCTACCTCAGTGACTGATGAAGGCAGCTCCTCCTCTGGGGCTGCACCACTAACAACGTGACTAATACACTGCCTCTTGACTGCATTTATCATGACACTATACCGCATGTTGATACATGGCCTGTGTTTGTGTCTGTGACTCTTTGTGCAAGCATCTGTGTGTGTGTGTGTGTGTGTGTGTGTGTATGTGTTTTTGCTTGGAAGGAGCGACAGTCAGTTAGTTGAAGTTTCACAGTAGTAATGTTTGCGGCTCCCCAGTGAGTCTGCACTTGAACATGAAGACTGTTACTGGCAGTGGGTCAGCCAGCCTCTGGCAGGCAGACAAACAGAGGGATTGGCTGACCCGGGAACAGAACTCGTCTCTGCACCAGCAGCAGGAAGAGCTGAAATCTGAAGAAGTGAATGGAGTCGAGGACCAGAAAGGAGAGAGAGGAGCAGCCATCCTTGGAGCAGAGACAGAGCTTGATCCATCAGGGACACTGTGTGTGTGTGTGCGTGTGTGCCTGTGTGGAGGCATGTGTGTTTTTGTCAGTGTGCATAAATCAGAGTGTGGCTGCTTTCTTTTCCCACTGTATAATTACCCCATTAATTTAAACCTCTCTTTGGGGACTTTCTCACAGTGTAAATCAAACAAATCACTGTATGGTGCAGAAGTGTTCCTGTGTGACCTGCACAAGTTTTTGTGCATATATGTGTTTGTGCGGTGTGTGTAAACAAGTGAATATTTGTAAGTGGTCCCACCAGGCTCTGCTGTTCACATTGACAAAATCTTATGTTAGAGCCAGAGCTAATTAAATGATAATTCAGGATTGTTTCTTATTTTAAAAAAGTTTTGTCACAACACAACATGACACAATCAAACCACAGCCAGCATTCACACTGCATCGCTACTGTGCATACACTATGTGTACAGCTGTAACACTCGTGCTGTGTAATCATTTATTTAACTGACAACAATTTTAAAAATTGATTAAAAAGCAAAATGTCAAGCATTCACTTGCTGTAGCTTCTGCTTTTTTCTTTTGAATATCAAATTTCATATTTTTGGGTTGTAGACTGTTGGCCGAACAAAACATTCAATTTGGAGACAAAGCCTTTGGCTTCAGAAAATTGTAATGTCCATTTCATGGACAAACTGATTACTGATTAACTAAGAAATCCAAACGATTATGGACAGAAATCATCAACATCAAAAGTGAAAATAAATGTAAGCTGCAGCCCAAAGTTAAGCTGAAGCTAATTGATGCAGAATTAAGCAAGGCCAAAACTGTGTCTTTATTCTGTATTGCTATCTTCCCTCCCTCTGCTCTTTCTACTGTTTTTTGGAGCCTAATCTTTGTGACTTTCTGTGTGAGACAGAGTGACAGACAGGCCAGTCTGGAAGCGTTGAGAGGACTTGGACAGTGATTTGGATGTTGTTAAACCTTCTGACATGCCAGGAATCCTACCAGGCTTGCAGGGGCAATAATCAGAGCTCTTTAACAGCCTGCGGGGCACCGCCAGAGGGCTTGGTGTTGAATTTGGTGGCCTACATGGTTCTATCTTTGTGAGGACTATTTTGAGTTTTGGACCTTGAGATTAGGGATATTTTTGGTCTGATTTTGATTTAGGTTTAGATTATGGTTAGAGTAAGGGTTTATGATAGGTATTTAGTTGAAATGGTTGGGGGTCATGTTAATATCTGTGTGAAGCACACGTGTGCACAAAAAAGGGAAAACCCATGCATGCATTCTCCTCACACATACAGATATAACAGCAAGACAGAGAGATAGAGAAAAGACAAAACAGGCAGTCTGAGGCAGAGGGGAAAGAGTTAAAGATGAAACTGGTGCAGTATAGATATATAGAGTGTAGGGGGAAAAGAAGGAGGGTTAAAACCAGTGAGCAGGCAGAAGAGAGATCAAAGGCAAGAGCGGATGATTCTCTATTTGGAATAATTTGCCAGCCTGCGTGGCCCTGATAAATCTGCTATTGGCCCCATCCCCGCCTCCATTGGGGGAAATATATAAATATATACATACACAGAGACATACACACAAATCAGCGCTCCCCAGTCTTATCTCTCCATGTGACTCATTTTAATTCCTTAACTTTATATGTGTGTGTTTGGGTTTTAACAAGTGGGGGAAAATAATAAAGTAAAGTGTAGATGAAGGATCATAGCATGTTCATATGCTTACGGCTTGTGTTTCCCACCGCATGAAATAATTATGATTTGATGTTGTATCATGATGGGGGTGAAAACAAAAGCTCAGAAAGTATTCCAAAATGAGAGACAACCACAAAATGAATAAATCAAATTAAGTAAAAATTTGATGTTCAAAGGGGTTTCACTTAATGATTTTCACATTAAAAGCAATATACTTTTTTATATATTACAAAATATTATTTCATCAATACTATGTAAGGTTAGTATGCTCATGCAGGATTGTGTTCACTCCAGTGAATGAGAAAGAAACTGAAGCTGATGGAGAAAGAACCTTAAAATCACCATTGGGTGTTTTCCTTGTCTGTGCTGCAAGACAAAAAGCTGTTTCCAGAATCTAGGCTAAGAGAATCTTTTCATGTCTTGAGATTATCTAACAGGCTGTGTAGGTTGTGCCACACTGTGTTCAGCCTTCTTTCCCATGGGCGTTGGGTGCATTCAGGAGAGAACAATGGGAGCAGGGTAGTTGGCACCAGGCACACTGGACAGGCACAGATGTGCCAGGGTCCTTGGCAGCAGAGGCAGGGAGAAGGAGGTGGTAACAGTCAGGCTGCCAACTTGCCTTTCTGCTGGGCCGTGAAGCGGGCACCTGCCCTCCACATGGCCCAGAGGGGAGGGAGACATTAAGTATACATACTCAGTTTATAATCAGTGCTGCTGATATGTTTGATGTTGAGATATTACAAACAGAAACGCTGATAAGATTCAATACATGTGATAGCACGGGACCTTACTCGGATTAACATAATGACATAACAACTAAGAAACATTTTTGGCATCTCAAAGTTTTGT